AGCTGTTCACTCTGTTCTATCAAGCTGAGAAGACTAGAAGTGTTCGACTGTTAGAGTGTTACAGAGTTTCCGGTCTCTTCAATCCTCACCTGGCCATGTTAGCCATCACTCCGTCCTCCTTCTGACCGCGCTGGGTCTTGGTCAACTCCCCACAGCTCCGCCTCACCGCGGCTTCCGGCTTTGACCAAGAGTGGAACAGGTGGTCCACTCAGGTAGTGGAGGGGAACGGACTTCTGTCGCCACTCTGCATCCCTCCACAAAAGACGCATCGGTCTGAATTTCCAGGACGCCCACTCTTCACGGTGCAAAATAAAAGATTCTAAACTCTTATAGAGGTGTCTTAAACAATCTGGATTTGATGTGTTGCTCTGGCGATAAGATGTTCTATATGACGTTCTACCTCTCTCTTCCCACGTCGCACCACCGAAACTTCCCGGTCGAGGAGCTGGAGCGATCCCACTTGCTCCTCCAGGCCGCAAAGCCGCCGCTGACAGGTGCCCAGCTCGACTGCGCAGTCCTCTCGGCAAACAAAGCGTGCTGAGGGTCTGAATGTTGGGAGGCAGGGTAAGAAGAACACCCCCCTTGATATCTTATTACATTATTTCTGTATACATATACTACTAATTACTACTACATATACTTTATGTGTGTGTGTTTATAGCTGTTTCGCTTCTTATTTTTGTTACTTGTTGTTTCGAGTGGTGGCGATTGAACTCAGCATGCCCAGGGACTTGGGGTATTACACAGAGTTACACGTTCAATGAGTTGCTGGAGCTCATGGCACCATGCAGAATCCGCATGATCCGATGTGGCACATGGCAATCGAGACCTTGCCTGGGTAGTGGGCCCGATGTCTTCGCCCGATTTCAATCGAGTCCAGTCCTCCTGGTGACATCTTTGAGTCTCCACCAGCTCCTTGGACGCCTTCCTCGGCGGGGAACATGTGAATGTGTTCGACCCCCAAAAAGCTGCTAGGGAGCATGGTAAGACGGTCCTGATGTGGGACTGTCGGACATGTTTGTGCCCGAAGGCCTTAGCACAAGGATCCATGAGCAAGCGTGAAGCGGCTTGAGGTTCCAAAGCCCTGAAGAGACTACAAGATTCTCATTCTGCAGGAGAACACATCTGTCAAGGTCTATCAACATGATCTGTCGTGATGAGCCAGATATGTTGAACTTTCACAATACGCACCCCGGAGAAAAAATAAAAAACAACATCCGAAGCTCCTTGGTTTGATCTGAGGTCGATCATTCCAAGAATCAGGGCTAACGTCGATCCAGCCCCGGTCGAACCACTACTTACTGCTGCGTTGCCCCCAGGGGTGGTGGAAATGACCATTTCATACCATTTCCCTTCCCCTCAACCTGCAGGATGTCTGACCCAAATCCCCCAAAAATATTCCTGACAATTCCAGGGCCAAGCCGCCAAGCCCCGGAAAGAAAGGTCAAACACTTTATCCACTCACTTGGGTACTAAATACCCTCCCTCTCGTGCATGTCCAAGCTTCTCGAAGAGCTGAAGTGATTCTTCATAGCCACCGACGCGCTTCTCCAGCGCCCCAAGGGAACTCTCCAGAACCTCCGAGCGAGGACTCCAGCCCGAAAGAGTTCATGACCCTCAAACTCGCCGGGACGTCGCCGACGCACTGGGTGGCAGGAAACGCGCTTGGTGGCACCGACGCGTATATCGAGCGCCTCCCACGTATGACCGGCCCGTGGTGACCGGTGGGTACGTCGCCCAGCTGGGTGTTTTTGATGTTATATTTTTTTTTTGCGGATCAGTCCTAACCCAATGCTGAACATCGGTCCCTGCCGTGGCCTTGAAGGACTTCAGCTGTGATGACGTCATCTGCTGCTGTTGCTCCAAGACCTGAAGTTCTTCTGCCTGCGAAGATGGTCCAGTCCACACCGCGATTTTCTCTAGGTCGTCTGAAAGATCCCACCTTGTCTGTTTCGGTGGTTGAAAAGGGGCCAATGTGGGCAAATATGCCATCTTCACAATTCACCTCAAGCACAATCAAACACCTCATGCCGCTACCAGGTACGATCGTGCTTAGCTTGTGATGTCGCGGATCGTGCGGGCCCCAGTCGGATTTACAAACAAATCAGGGTTGATAGACTACAGTAACTTGGACCAAGTGGAGGGAGATCACGGGGTCCGTGCTGCATCTTGGTCACTCATGGACGCTGACTTTTCGTTGGTGTGATGACCTGCTTATCCTCGTCCATTGTATCAAGTGTTTTGTTCACTTGAAAAAGCCAGCATCATCCATCTCCTCTTGTCTCTTGTGCTGCTCTGGGTCCATAATGGCAAAAACGATCCTGTTCCCTGTCATTGACAGGTGGACTCTCCCATCCAAAACATCCAAGCGCCGGCTGCAGCTCGGGCCTGCTTCTCAAAGCTCTGTCGCAACTGCTTCCCCTCCTGGATGTGCAAAAGTCGATCTGATGGTCGCGAGACACATTCGCATGGCTGGCAAAACTTTCACAGCAATTTGGAAGCCTCAACCCGGTATGTTGTTATTTCCATCAGTCTGAGTTTGTTAGGTTTACACTTTACACCTAAGTGTGTTTGGCTTCCAAATGGCCGCCTTGTCAAGATAATTTGCTATGGACTTGAAGTTTACGTTAAACGTATATAGATAATTATTATGGAAATGATTGTTCCACAATATGCAACACATGCCAACAGGTGCAGTTTGCTTTAAAAGGACGTTGTCCACCTCCGCCATTTTGTTAGGCTGATAGATCTCTTTAAGTCTTTCAAATGTCTCCTCTAAAATGTGGAATCCATGTCTCCTCTAAGCAGTTTGCTTTAAAAGGACGTTGTCAACCTCTGCCATTTGTTAGGCTGATAGATCTCTTTAATGTGGAATCCCACTGGATTTCTGAAGATGTTCAGGGCTTGATACCATTTTAGTCCATGGGCACGCAGCCTGGTGCGATGCTTTCTGGAACCACCACGGCCACCTGAGTGTGCCCCAAAGACCGGCCCTGGGAATGTCAACCATCGACTGGCCGACAATCCCATGGTTTATTGGGCCATATTGGGCCTATCCATCTCAAAAAAAACACAGTGCTTTGTTTCTTTCGCTGGGAGTTTTTGATGTTTTTGGGGTTCACCCTGATTTCACCGTGATCTCGGCTCTCCCATACGCCCATCCGGTCGTATCGGTCGTCCTTCAACGCTTCCTGAATCCGCCCCTCTGCGGATTGAATGCCATGGAAACCTGACGAGGCGCGTAGATGGGCGGGTAGGCGGGGTGTCCAAGCAGCACCCGTTGGGGAGATGCACACGTTTGGGAAGACCTTTGTGGGAAATCGCGTTGAATAAATAGATCCTTTCTGTTTCTGTATCTTGGCTCCAGGTTTGAATACTGGGAGTGCTCCTGGTCGTATCCAGAGCGCCCGGGAGCTTGTGTGAAGAACTGGCGAGTGACCTTCAGGAAGATGCATGAACAAGTTGAACAAGGGAACCTGGCTTGAAACCGATCCCCAACCCCCTCAAAAAGGCCTCTCCCAGATGAACAAAGCAGATCTCTTCTTTTCCCAAAAAGCCCTATGTCACGGGTACCGGGTACCGCCAAGCATGAGCGTACCGCCGTAGTGGCCCTGTGCTACGTGGCCCTGGCCTCGCTGGAGCTCACAGGTGCGCTCCTCAAGGTCAAAGACCTTTCGAGAGGAAACGGCCTGATCTTCACTGCACCTGGACACCGCGGACCGGAGCTCCGTTGGACTACACATGGCCGGGTGGCAGGTTCAGAGCGAGCGTCCGCCTCTACACATGGCATGCCAGTACAACGGTGCGAGAGTCCGAGACCATTACTTAGGAAAATGGCATCTGAAGTCCCGAACCCATGGACTGTGTGGGCCGCACAAGGTGCCGGCCCACGGTCCGTTGCCGGTCCGAAGGATGTGGGACATCTATAGTATTCTAATTTAATGTATTCTATACCAGGACCTTCCAAGAGATGCCTATAAAAAGCCTCTGAGAGCTTAAGGGGTGTCCAAAAGCCATACCAGAACGCATGTACATCTGGCGGGGTGCTGATCAATCGACAGGTCGCCCCCCATGGTCCTGCACCGCCACCAGGTCCTTCACCGGGCCCGGTGAAGGACCTTCTTCCTCGCCTGGTGAGGCTGGCCTCGATCTGCTCGAGCCTCAAGCGCCACTTCCGCTCTTCCGCCACTTGGCGCGCCTGCAGAACTCGACGGACCGACCGACCGAGCCAACACTCCGAACTGGAACTGGGACATGGAGGTAGGGTGTTGGATCACCATTCTTGCCTACAGATTGGCCTAGATATGGAGTACCGTCAAAACATGTCATCTAGTAGTAGTAGTAGTAGTAGTGGTAGTGGTAGTGGTAGTGGTAGTGGTCGTGGTGGTAGTAGTAGTAGTGGTAGTCGCAGTCGCAGTCGCAGTAGGAGTAGTGGTAGTGGTAGTGGTAGTGGCAGTGGCAGTGGCAGTCGCAGTAGCAGTAGGAGTCGGAGTAGTAGTAGCAGTAGTAGTAGTAGTGGTAGTCGCAGTCGCAGTCGCAGTAGCAGTAGCAGTAGGAGTAGTGGTAGTGGTAGTGGTAGTGGTAGTCGCAGTAGCAGTAGCAGTAGGAGTAGGAGTAGTAGTAGTAGTAGTAGTACTAGTAGTAGTAGTACTAGTAGTAGTAAGCCTTAGGGGGGTACACAGAAAAAACCTCTAAACAAATCACAGTCGGTCAAGGCACTCTTTTGGAGACGGCGGCCTGCAACTGAACCATCCACTGCGACAGGGTTCCCAGCGGCCTACGCCTACTTCCCACACCAGTCAGTCCAATGGAGTGAGGATGACTCTGGGTGTCGACACAGTGACGTGGCACAGCGCAGGCCCGCAGAAGAAGGGCTGGGAGGTCGGTCACAAGTTGGATCAGTCGTAAGTTCAAGCGATGTGCAAAGCACCGCCCAATGCTCAAATAGCCCTCCTTTCTTGCGCGCGCCCCCGGTGCGGCACAAGCGTTCTCCTTGCCAACTCCCACACTTGGTCCAACTTAAGGGATGAGTGCAACTGCCTCCAAAATCCATCTCTCACTAGGCTCCGCTGTGGTGCATTTTCGCCCGAATCAAAGCGTCGTGGCTTCCTTTTGGAAGACCTCGTGGCTCAAACGCTCTGTTCCTGGGGGTCGCTGCTTCGCTGCAAGGCGAGTTTCACTCCAACCCCCATCAGATTTTAGCCCCTTTCAGAGCTGCTTCGCATCAAACGTGCCGCCTCAATCCATCTTTTTCACCTCAGTCCACCTCCTCCGGAACGGGTGAAAGCTGCACTCTCAAGGCACAAGCCACCGGGCGATGGTCGCTGCTGCGGCGAAGCGGGTAGGCGTCGTAGTCCACCACGCGCACCGCCTCGGCTTCAGAGTCCAAGACGCGCTGCGCAACCTGAGGTCGGGGAGTGGCGTCCTAAAGGCATGTGTGTGTGCAACAGGGAACCAAGAGGACTTCAAAAGGACCCTGGGAAGAATTTGACTTCAAAAGGACCCTCTCAACTCCCAGGATCGACGCCGACTCCTCCAACTCCCACTTCAAAAGGACCCCAGTGAAATTCCGGGGAGTTGGAGATAGCAAGTTTGTCTGAATCAGGTCACTAAAACACACATACATGGATGGCAGGTAGCGCCTTATTGATATGCAAAGCTTACAAATCCGTTTTACTATTACTGTTATATATATATAGATACAAACAAACAAACAAACAAACAAACAAACAAACAAACAAACAAACACACTAACTAACTAACTAACTAACTAACTAACTCACTCACTCACTCACTCACTCACCAACTAACTAACTAACTAACTAACTCATAACTCATAACTATTCTCTCTCCCTCTCTCTAACTATCTTTTTCTTAATTGGCCTCGAGTTCGAGGTACAGTATCTCCACATATCTCCACTGTCCCATGCGACTTGCTGCCCTCAAATGCACCAAAACCCCAACCGATGCGCACAAGGCCTGTGTAACCTCTTGGGGCCTTGGCGGACTGGAACATGTATATACCCTATGGGGCTCCTGGCCTAGCTCCTGAGGTTCGGTGCTTGGGGTGGGCGCCAGGGGGGGTTCCACCGAACCACAGGTGCGCGCAGTCGGCCGACCACACGGCCTGGGTCGCATGAAGCTCATGCCGGAAGATCACACGGTCACACCAGGCAGGCGTCCGTTGTGGACTCCTGGGAGGTACGGGGAACAAACGTACAGGATTGGAGTGGCGGGTGGCCGTTCCAAATGGCGCTGACCGGAGTGACTAGGAGACTGCATGAGTCTGAATGTTCGACTCGTTTCGTTGGGAAAAACCACGTGAAACGATGACTTACCTTTCTCCCTGTCCCGGTCAATTTCGACCCGGAAGAAGCTTTGACATGCTTTGACCACTTAGATCCAAGGCACAAATCATCACTGCCAGGGATGTACTTGTAGGTGGGTGGGAATGTCACCTCTGAACGCGACTGCCAAACGCCAGTTCGCTCGCATTTCCGGACCGTCGTGCTGTCACGAGCGCTTACGTCCGGGGCCTTGGTATAGGATGGTGGTAGAGACTAAGAGTGGTCAGCAACGGCAAACACTTGGATTCGTGTTTTTTTTGTTAAAATTCCGCCGTAGGTGGGGACATGGTTCGACATCTTGAGGGCTCCAAGCCTTAGAGTTGAGCTGAAAGCCTTTGACTCTCAGAACTCCTGATGTGCAAAGTCCGCATGTCTCGGCCGCTGGGCGCGCGCCTCGGCTTCTCGAAAGCCCATTTGCCGTGCTTTCAGGCGCCCACAGACCAGCTCGTCGCAAAGCAGCCAAGCCTCTGGCGGCCCTTTGGGCCGTGCGCCCTCCTGGGGCGTGCGCCAGGGGAGAAAGAGGGGCGCACGATGAGGTGCTAGAAATCTGGACAGGTGGACGATGAGGTGCCAAAATCCCCAGTTCTAAAATGTTAAAAGGACACCACACAAATAGTAACCTTGAAATTAAGGAAATCAACAAACAAATCCAATGTGGGATTTGGATGGATTTGTGGATTGGTTGTGGTTGGTTCTGTGAAGGCACCTATACATTGTATAAATCTACCAAAGGAACAAGGTAGGCTCGTTCGGAGCCTGGTCGGAGGAACGCCCTTAATGACTCAACCAATGAGCTTTTCCACATTCTAAGCATGGGCATTCCAAGCTTCCCCCTCTGGCAAATCCAGGCGTGAGTTCAGGTCGCCGAAGACCTCAAGAGGCGAAAGATGATCAATCCATGCAATCCATGGTCAATCCAGGCGATGGAAAAACTGGATTGGGGTACTTGAAGCTGCTTCAGCTTGAGCTGCCGCAGCTTGAGTTCATGATGTGTTTGTGGGACGGAAGGCATAAGTGGCCAACCTGTTGGTCATCCACATAAATATACTTATATATATACATTAATATACACTATTCAGAGTAGTCCCTTGCCTATGTGAGGAGACTGTCCCATGCCTGCCCACAAATCGGCACACAAATGCTGAATACCAGCCATTGGAATTCAATTGAAGATAGACAAATGACAAATCCAGATTCTCGCCCCGAGCACGTTTGGGTGCTTTCAGTGTGTTTTCTCATGTGGATTCTGGTCCCCGCTGTTTGAGGCAGCCTCACGGGCGTGTCCCATTCTTCCACCCTGTTGAGATGGTCGACATTGACCCTCCACCTTTCCCTACGCTATACATCCCTACCCAACTTTTGACCCTTGTAGTAGCTTCTTGCTCCGAGTAGCGATGCCAGGAGCCCCTAGTAGCGTAAGGCCAGGAGCCCCGTTCGTGGCTTCTTGTTCCTGGAGTGTAATCCCCTCCCCTCCGTTGACCTTTGCACCGAGGCACAACTGTCAGATCGTGCTGCAAGGCATTGTAGACGCCCGCCCGATGGAAGCCCTTCTTGGGTTGCCGCGTGGAACCGTTGCGTGAGATTCCTTGGAAGGCATAAGTGAGGACTTCTTGAAGATGCTCGTTCCTGGCCGCATGGCGGGGCGGCCGAGACCGGCCGCCAACAGGTGCGAGAGACGTGACATGTGAAAATCTGACAGAACCGAGCATGAGGTTGAAGCATGAAGTCAGTGCCAAGTGGTCGACCTATTGCTGTAGCACCCGACGTTGCTACAGGGGGTGTCTGAAGGTTGCCTTCACATTGATGAGTTCCCACGGCATATCGACCTGATCACAGCACTTCATCATGGTTCACCAATCCCAAATGATCCAGGGACTGCTCACGCTTAGAGCCACGGCCGTCCCCACGCTTAAAGCCACGGCCAATCAAAGCACGGTCACGGTGCCTTGTTGAAACATCCCACATAAATGAAATCAACTGAGTCACCAAAGGTAAGTCTCGTGCTTCCTTCCCCCACGGCCTATCCCCTCTAAAAGACTCTGGTCCAACTGTTTTTTCTGCCTCACCCGCCCGGATCCGATCCGTCCGGTGCTACGTTTGCGCGGAGTGTCCGGTCATCTTCGTTGTGAGCGCCCGATGGCAAATGCACATTCACAAAGCACATCGACATCATTCCACAAAGGAACCGCACCTGGGAGTGGTTTCATGTGGTGAACAAACGGAAGGGAGTGCGCAGTCCATCACTCGGAGGACCCGGAATTGGGATTGGGACCCACCCAAACCAACACAGGTTAGGTGACCTTATAGGACCCTACTGGGGTACCTACAGGATAGTCTATATAGGTGTCTAGTTCGGGTTCTTCAACCACTGCTGGAAAGTGGAAGAAGCTCGGGCTTCGCCGGAATTGGCACCGCCCACCTTCCACAGACTTTGCACCTGCAGAAACCTGGGGGATGAACGGCTGAAATAGAAGCCTCGAGCCTCTTAGGTATGCGCCTTGTTTTTTTCTACTGGTCCAGGGGGGGAGTGTCACAAAGTTGCGAGCAACTACCAGCAAACTTCACCACCCCCCTCACACTTAGCCATGCCCTCTTCCGCCTCTTCCTCCGTTTTTGTTGGCGCCCAGGCACCGCCAGGCCCCCCTTGTTGCCCCCGAGCCCTTCGATGCCCGTCTTGACGCGGTCGCAGTCGATCTCACCAATGCAGGCTTCCAAGTGCTCAGAGACAAAGGTCAGTAAGGAGAGCCCCACCATCCCGAAACTACCTGGGATGCAAAAACTGGTCTCAAGACGCATCTGATGGCATCTGATCACACAAAGGGAGGGTGATGGAGGGTGTATATATCCCACAGGAACCCACCAAATGCCATCAAACAGGCGCATTGGAGCTTCTGATCAACTGGCTCAGAATTCGCCCCACCACACATTTGGATGGGGTTGTCCATGTTCATGTGCTAGGCCCTATAAACATCAACATTTACATTTATACCATCTCTTGGGTTCTTCCATGGGCCGGCGGCTTCCAGCCCATCCCTCTTCCAGGCCGCCTCTTTATCGATGTTCCCACTCCAGGGCGCCCTCATCGGCTCGTACAGTAGGCTCTTTCACAACCCCCCCCCTCCCAGTGGCCGGTAGCCCCCGCGCCTGCGCCCTCACAGTCACCTCACCCTCCCTCTCATCCCAAAATCTCAGCTGTGGGCTGGGCGACAAACCTTCAAGAACTTCCGCCCCGAAGAGGCCAAGATCTCCTCCACCCGCTGCTCCAGCTCTGCTTGTCGCTCCTCATGGCCATCGGTGTTCAGCAGCCTCAGTGGGTCACTGCCCAGCCCAGATGGATGGGGCTCAAGTGAAGTTTGCGGGGGGGTGGTGCACAGGAGGAACATGAGTCAAGTTTTAAACAAATCATCTACCCAGTGGAGCACATAGACCAACAGAGGTTGAAGAACCCCAAAAAGACGTACCCCAGGTAGACCGGGTCCTAGTTCAGGTCACTGAACCTCTCTTGGGACAACATGAACATGACTTTGAGATGTGAGTTTCTGACTCAATTGTTGGCCGGCTCTTTTTGCATGGGATCTTTGGCCCCCTGCAGGCAGCGGCCCCAGTCTAGACTGGGGGGGGGGGTGATTTTTGGTGTTTCAACACCACGTGACATGCGGCACGCTGCTGCATCTGCAAGTGTCGACCTTGCGCGCTCCCCGTCCTTTTTCACGGTTCAGAACCACCTCAGACCTCAGACCTCGCGCGCGTGCGAGCAATCCCTTGAACAGCGAAGGGGCAGCGACATGGGGCCGAGCTCGATCAACTCCTGGATGCCGATCACCTCAGAACCACCGGGGGTTCCCACAAGGCGAGGCTCCGCTGAAAGCATCCACAGGCGATGCTGAAGCCGTGTACGTCGTCGGTCGAAATCGGTGGCTAGATGTAGAGAGTAAAGATTGAAAAACACGTTTTTGAGGGAAATGTGCATGATGGACCTAGGGTAGCCCATATGTTCTATTAATAATGGGTTCACCGGATTAATCAACCCCCCCCTTCAAGGTCAACAAGGTGTGGGATTGGAGGGCTTGGAGACCACATCCCCCCCAATAAAGGTGATGACCTGGTGATGGATGATGAGATGATAAGATTAGGAAAGATTGGGATTGGGATGGTTAGGAAAGAGATGAAAAAGATTGAAGACAAGATGATGGAGGTCAGAGGGTGGGCTTGATTAATAGGGGGAGGGGCCCCACTATTAGAAGGAGGTAGGGCCTGTGTGAGGGGTACCCTTTGTGAGCTTGAACACCTTAAGATGTTGATAGAGTTTTATAAGGGAAAATGAACGAATCTAACAGGGAATGAGAAGAACAAGCAGGATGAGAAGCAAAAGGAGGATGAGAATGATGTTGACCACGGACCAGAAGATATTGGATACTGCCCAAAAAAAATGTTGGATACAGCTCCTTTTTCTTCTCTGGGGGGCTGGGCTTGATTAATAGGGGGGAGGTTACTTCATCCTCTGTCAACATTAGGTGTTTTTTCCGGGCGAACTTAGAACTAAATGCAACGCACTACTCAACGTCAAGCCGCTTTTGCTACAACATGAATGGCAATGTGTGTATATATATGTATATGTATATTAAGCTAACTTCCTGGCGGACATGGAACGTATTATGTATATATATATATGTATAGATTTGGCAATGTATATACAGATCATAGATCTATTATATATATAGATATATGTGCAGTATTGTGCAGTATATACTGTAACTTCAACCTGAACCACTCCCTGAGTAGAGGGCAGCATGCTGTAGTATCACAAGATAGCAGACCTTGACTCATGTGCTTCGGGCTCGCAGCGCAGTGCTACGATGTCACCAACTCAGTCGGTGACGTAAAGATCAGCTGCCTTCCCTTGCCTCGGTCGCATCCAAATGGTCTATTCTGCAGGTAGCTCTGCCACACTACTACTGACTATGTTTCCACGAACTGTTCCTCCAGTTTGAACCACTGATCGTCGACGACTCAATGACAACCGATCCTTTTCGATTTGCTCGATCTCAACACGCTGCATGTGTGATCGCTGGTCCATTGAAACCCACGTATTCAAAAAAAGCGAGAACGAACGCACCTGACAGAGGTGGCCAGGTGATTCCCTAGCTCCTTGGTTAATTGACCAGGTGATTCCCATGTAAATGACCAGCAAAATGCCACCAGGTGGTCAATCCTATCACCCCATAAATGGCCGGGTCTCACCTGACGCCCCCCCGAGTGGCCGGCACGGAGTGAGCGGCGTTCCGGGAGGGGTTCGGGGCCAGTGGGGTAAGCAGACCAGCACCTCTCGGCCACCACGGAGAAAACAAACAAAACACAGACCAGCAGCTCCCTGCCAGGTCACCGAAACCTGAAAGGTTTGGCCTTTCCCAAGCCTCCATGCAACGGAGACCTGTTGGGTTCGGTGCTGGTATTCAATATGAAAATTTGAATATGGTGTCATCTCGCCACCTTGAAACCGTGTTAAACTAACATGAACATGACAACATATCAAATCAACAGGTCTAAACCAATAGCCTGAAACATCTGCCCCAGGGGCGGCAGCAGCCACAAGGCTAAGTCATCCTCTGGGTCCACCTTGCTGCCATGCAGATTCCTTAGGCTCACGCGCAGAAGTGAATGAGCTCAAAATGTCAAGTCGATCTTCAAAACAACTTCCAAGCATGAAGGGGGAAAAAGGCATACCAACCAATTGGTGTTTTCAACCCATTGACCAACATATTTGTCACATCTTAGTCATCGAGGTCAGTCAACCACAGGCTTGTCAATGGCTGTCGGGTTTTCAAGGCCCTCGCTGACCATCAATGACTCAGTTTCCAATATCTGACTACTTTCACGCCCAGGCTTCCAGGTACACACCCGCAGCTGTATCTCCGGTCGCTCCGACGGCAGGCTCCGGCTGGAGGGCCTCCGCAGCCACCGCGCGGTGGCGCTGTGCGCGGTCGTTGCTGAGACCTCTGAGCTGTGGGATGTTGTGGCTCTGCGCACCTGCGAGACGCCCTGGTTGAAGCTGCGCTCTGCGGAGCTCTTCGCCTTGGATAGATACGATCGGTCGCTGCGATAGATACAGTACAGAGAGCGAGCAGGCGAAGGCGACGCCAAACTGGGGAGGTGGTGGGGACCAACGTGGTGTTTGTGGTTGGATGTTGGTCGTTACAGTGGTTTGAAATGTTTGGAGTGGACCTGAGAATTGGTCAAGCGTCCTCTGTTCATAGCTTGTCTGAGGCCCAGTCAAAGTTCCATGATAAACATTCATGCGCAACATTTTGAGCATGAGCGAACAAACCAAGCTCCTCTTCCTATTCCCATCCCTGATTCCTGAGATCTCTGGGTGTCATTGTGCCTGGCTGACTTAGGCCCTTGGAGACCATATGTGCTCATCATCCCATGTCCCAATGGTTCACAAACCCCAGGCAAGCCACTGCATCCACGGCCTGAAAGAACTTGTTTCCAGCTTGCTGCAGTGCTTGCTGCTGTTCAGAAGATAGGTTGGCCCATTTCATCCAACCGTAGCCAGCCATGGCGATGCTGGAGAAGTCTTCTGAGTCAAAATGAACCCCCCAACTTCTTCTATAAATATATAGATTGGTATATGTTATTATAGATTAATCACCCTTGAGGGGGGTCCACTTGAAACGGGGATCATCTTGTAGCGGTGCCCTGTGGTAGTAGATGAGCCTATGATGCGTAGTGTGGAACTTGTGGCTGACCTCAAGAACATAGCCCGATCTCATCAAGCTGCTTGGAAATTGGAGAATGAGAGAGTTTCTCAACACATCTTGGAAAAAAAGGCTTCTTCCAAATCATTATCCTTTGTTACCTAAGCAATCTTAAGCTGATCAATCTTCTGCGAGTCCAACATGGGCGAAAAAAGAATGGCTATGGATGGTTGAGGAAGGTCCACCCACGGCTGTCGACGCATGCCACCCTTGCCCTTGCCCTTCTCTTCACGACAGGGAGATGTATCTGTAGCATGTGGAACATCGCTCGAAAGAAAGCGGGATCAAACTTGGGACCTACCGCTCCTGTGACAAAACACAGCCGGTTGGGCGATTTAGGCAGCTCGACTGCTCGGCTGTAGGCATCGTGGTCACACGGTTTCCAATACATGTTCAGTGGGGATCTGCGAACCTTCTACACTCCCTGGAACTAACATGGAAGTGGAACATTGCCAAAGGAAAAGCATTTTCCGAATAGCAAACAGGGTCTTCTCCATGGGGTTCTGTTATCCCAAACACTCAAACGATATGCCATGTATGATATGCCTACATTGACCCCGACTTCAACCACCCCTGGCCGTTTCTCGGCAGTCCTATGGCAGTCCCAGACGTGTCGTGTCTGGGAATGGTCGAGTCGCTGTCCGGCGCCGGTTTCGATCGAGGTCCCGTGCGATGGCCTCGGCGACGCGCTCGCAGGAGGTGCGGGGCTCCACTTCCTCCCTGTGGCGGAAAGTGAGGTGTGTTTTTGGAGGAAAAGTCTTGTTGGATCTTTTTGGATTGGGATGTGTTTCCTTGTTATTGGATGTTATTGGATTATTGTTATTAGATGAAAATGATGAGATGAGATCTTTTTGGATTTGAGTGGGATTGTTCTCAAAGATGTTCTGAACCTCCATGACTGTTCATGTCGTGGAGGGAAACTATACTGTAAGTAGGAGGAAACATGTGCTGGTGAGTAGGGAAACAAAGGAAACATAATGAAACATAACTATACTGTAAGTAGGCTTGGGATCTCTCCTACTTCAACTAATTCCCTGGTGACTTGTCGTGTAATTAGCCTTGTCCAAGAGCCAAGAGTTGGAAAGCTAGTTTTCGGAGGTTTCATGTCAATCAGCTTGCAACCAGGTCTCTAAAGCTCTAAAACAGCTTTGCCCCTCTGAAAAAGGCTCTGCCCTGGCACCTCTTGACGCGCCGAAGGTCTCCTCTCGCACTCTCCTGCCGCTGGTTCGTCCAAATCGCGTGGATCGGACGGATTCACCTTCTCTTCACACATGGAAGGCACGAGCTGAGGAAGGAAGGGGTGCCCTACTTCAAAACCAGAACGAGAAGAGGCATCGTTGCACCTGACCCCCGTGCTTGGCATTGTGTGGTCATTTGGTGGAAGGCACCCAACAAGCTGGGGGCTGTTCGCTAGAACTTATGATGACCCCCAGGTAGATAGTAGACTAAAGGCCCTCAAAAAGCAAGAGCGATTCCCACTCCATTCAACTAATGGCGGGTCATAAGTCAACTTTCCAGTCATGTTGCATCTGCTCCCGCCTTGGGAGATCCTGACCATCCAACAAAAACATGATAGCAAAGCTTTATGTAAAAGAGAAGGGGCCCCGGATCCAACATACTTTGGGAATGCTGGGTGGTGTATGGCCCTACAGCACCTGCCGTACCAATGGTTCATAGATTCTAGCCCATGGCCAAATCTCCTGCATCTTGTCCAGCATTTGGCGTTGTTCCTCCAAGGCCCTCTTCATCTCTTGAACCTCCCAGGTTGAACTTTGGACCCGGCCATGGCGGGTGTCACGAGGAAGGCGCAGGGGTCGCAAATCATGCCGTCTGCGTCGTCTTTGGGCCTTTGGGTGAGCCGTTTCAGGTCTCAGGAAAGTATAAATACACCATCAAAAAGTATAAATACGTATAACATATAACATAGGATTAAACCCTCCATCAAATCCATTGTTTCAGGTCTCATCAACATCTATCCACCATCAAATGTGCTGTGCTGCACCCTCCAGCAAGTACCTGGCGAACGGGGATCATTGGCGACCTAGCAGTCCAGATTTCTGGATCTCATCGGCATGTGAACACACGCCGTCGCTCATGACCCAGCACATGAGCAAGACTCCCTCCTACGAGTCGGTCGAACAGGGATTCCCTCCTCCTTCCGCTCTCTCATGTGCTGTTCTTGCATCCCAGCGTCCTGGACACAGGCCAGTGGCTTGAACGAACATGTCCATCCCACCGTCCAAAACCCCTCAAAATCTGCCATCAACAGCGGGGCCAGTCATGCAAAAAAACCTCTTCAACTAACAAATGAACGCTCTAATTAAGGGGGGAATGTTGGGCTCACCCCAGGGGCGAGCCATGCCGAGCCTGCAAGTTCGTTTGCACATGAAGCTGATGGATGCAAGCCCCCAAGCGGACTTACAGTAACCGCCCAACAGTGCCAACTCAAAAGAATCTGACGAAATTGACATGGACTTCTCAAACTTTACAAATTATATAGATTGTGTTTGCCAAGATTTCTCCAGTCCTTCAGCTCGGCCGACCAAAAAGAAGCCCAAAAATAAACGCAAGCGTGCTGGTCAATGAGAGGGGGACGCACAAAGCCAATTGTCTGGCTCTGTGTGTAGGGCTCTCTTTGGTCAAAGCTGGGTCGCGATCTGAAACCAACCATCTTGAGATATCTTGAGCATGTCCTAGCGTCCCTGAGAAGAAATGGTGGTGGAAGGTGGCCGTTCAGCCTCAGCCTGAAAAGATCTCTGTATACCTCGGTACACTTGGAGAGGAACAAAACCCGGGGAGAAGCCTGGCTTACGTCCATCTCCTGGCGTGTGAAGAACTTCTGAGCCTCCTGTGCGATTCAGATGCCAAGGTTGGTACGCTACAGTCATGGCTTTGGACGGGCTTCCCATAGAGAACCAGGCGCTCCCCTGATGAACATGTAGCCTGAAAAATGTTGACGATTCCAGGGTTCCATGTTCATTATCAAGAGTCGGTAGGTCGAAAAAGTGCTGTGTCTTTAACGATTTCTTAATCACACTGTCCCAAAAGTGAACGCGTCGAAAGTCTTGGACGTCCAAAGATCTGGCAAACTACATTATATAAGACAAATAATGATATTGAATTGATTGTTTTCTGTAACGAGAGGGATCATTGGACGGCCTGAAACTAGTACCGCACATCGCCTGGTCGCCACACAAAAATGATACCTGTGGATGTTGCCCAACATCGGGTCTGTAATAGCTTCTTTTTCTGCACTTTCTGCAGCATCCTGCTGCATTACATCACCTAGGAACTCACGTCAGAACGAGGCATCACTCCAGTTCCTGGCACAAACCAGACTCCGCCGGCGCAGGCTTCACCGCACCGGTCACGGAGACCGTCCGAACGCCGCCGTTGACCCGCCACGGCGCCTCTTCGAAACTGCTCCGAGCGAAGGCGATCTCCTGAGGGCCGCCGATGCAAGTCACTCGGGACCCCGGTTGGTCCGGACACGGCGGACGTGGATGCACTGATAGGGAAAATGTACATCACCCGAGCAAAACCTCAAAGAACAAAAAAACGAAAAAGACCTGTGGGTTGGTTATTGAACATGTTTGGAGCCACATCCAGCTGATGTTCCAAGTCTTGTATCCAGGTGTAGGCACTGTGGGTCATCATGATTGTCAAGCCTTTGGGCGCCGCAGTGGTCTAGGCTTCGGATCGAAGCCCACACGCAACGCTTTCCTCTGGTCAGAGCCATCTTCAATACAACTTTGACCCCTGCCTGCACAGCAGTCACAAGTTGACGGACAAATACATATATATATATATAAATCTATTATAGTTGAGTTGCGATAGTTGGAGGGCCTTGACGCACCCAAAGCCAGCAAAAGAGCCGTCAAAAATAAGACCTATACAGTATAAAATTAAGACATATATATATTTTTTAAAATTAATGGTCTACCACTGCGAGAAGAAGACAAATTAGCGGTCGATGTATGTCGATGTTCCAATCCTCGACGGCTCAATCGACGCCTTTCCTCCATGGGTTTTCGCTCCCATCGGTCGGCAGCCGCCGTCATTCGCCGTCGGCCTGGGAGACCCATGAGCGCATCTCGTCCATGGCAGCATTCACCAAGGCCTCAAGATCCACCTGCGGGCGCAGGTGGATCAAGGGCGATGGAGCCAACGGCAAGCGAAGGGATGGAGTGTGAAACAAGTGAAAAAAGAAAGGCAGGGGTTGAAAACTTTTCATGGTGGGAGGTTGCATGAGGTTGCCCTGAGATATCATGAGGATGGGAATCTGCGGAGTGAAAACTCTCTCAGCAAAATCAATCAGCCTCTCACGTCTGCAGTTTCACCCTAAAGGGTCAAATGTGAAAGTTGCAGGTGCATGGATTTTGTTCAACACAAAGGCTCATCTGCCATTGTGTTGGGCTGGTGGCACTCATTGTCAACATTATACGTCTGGAAGCTTGAAACAAGCAACACTGATCAAAGCAAATCAACTGTTATTTGCAGAGTATGTGGATGATTGATGCCCCTCACCTCTCTGTCAACACTCAGAAGACGGCCTCATGCCGAAGACTTACAGGATGTGGAAGATGTTGCTTGGCCAAAGGAATCCGGCTTGGCAGGATGTACAGTACACTCTAGAAAATTAACATGGAACCTGAAAGCCACTAGGTTGTAGAGGAAAATAGTCTTCCAAAGGTCCATTTCCAGGTTCCATGTTAATCTTTCCGGGTGTATTTCATGAAGAAACACAGCACTCTTCAGCGTCCGCACCTGCAACTCTTCCCGAACGGCATCGGCCACCTGCGCGCGCGTGAACTCGGTGCAGGACGGAGCGGCCAAGGCTCTA